AATGTGGGTCAAGGTCCCCTCTTAATCTGAAACATACACCAACCAACAAGACTCTGTATGCAGTACACGTTTTTCTGAAAGCCCGCGGTCACTTTGGCTGTCCACAAACGCCGCTTCCGTTCATTCGCATCGCACATCTGCGGCCCTTTCGCCTAAGCATGCTAAGAGTATTGTCCCAATTAACCAGGTTACAGACAAATGCGGCTGCCTTATCAAGAGTCTCGCGTCGCCAAGCAATGCATTTGCTGGCCGAAACCAAATAACACGCCCGCATTATCCCATTTTCTGAATGAATGAGTTTTGAACTATCAAGTTTTGAACCAAGAGGATCCGATTCAGCATTTGAAACTTCCAAATATTTGCACATGCCTACAAAGACAGTGCTGTACTGTGAAAGGCTGAGAGAGCATCAAACCTTACTGAAAGTGTTTAGGATTAGTCACAAGGCTGTGGTTGGAAAAAACAGTGAGATGATGTCATAAAGCATTTCTCCTAACAATTAATGCGCGTCTACAAGTGCATCACAACTGGGCACGGGTGAGTGCGCCTGTTTTAATTATTTTCCTTCCTAATACAGCATGCACTCCTAAATTTTTATATACTCCGTGAAATGTACAGTTTCCAAGTTTCTGAAGAACTGGGCATGCCTGTGACATATATGCACCAAACATATTCAACATCAATCGTGAGCATGAAAGAGCCAATGGCAAAACTGAATGGCTCAAATTTTTATAAGTAACAACCATGTGAGGCCAGCAGACATTCAAGCCAAGAAAAGTTCAGAAGAGTGAGTGATCTGGTGCTTTTGTTTCCATATTCATTATTTTCCTTATATTTAAATTACAACATAAATTTCCCTCATGTGTTTCGCGAAGCATTAAGCAAAATGCCACTGACATTTGTGTCTTGCGTTAACCAGAACGTTGCAAGGATCCCCTAGATACCCTATTCAATTGACTGTGCGAGTCCTTTCGAGTAATACTGCGCACTCAGTACATCGCCACTCGCTAAGCCTACTGCCAAGGGCGTCTATTCCAACCGGGAAGCAGGGCAACCATTATGCCACCACCAAGAGGAATAAAAAAAATGTTCTATTGTGCAGTCTCAGAACTTCAGTGCCAGCGATGTTGGAATTCCTCGTAAACATTGATCACTAGAAGAAACCCAGAACAGTGTCAGGGTTCATGCTCATTTACATGACAAAAATTCAAAGATTTTCAAGGCCTTTCAAGGCTATGTGTGCGAATATTCAAGGACCGCATTCTCTGTTAGAGACCGAATCAACACATGTGCAGGGGAAGATAAAAGCTTGAAATAAGCAGAATTCAGCGAAAAAAGGCAATGCCACAGGAGCGGACGTCAAAACGTGGCCCTAATGGCATTTTCTTGCTAAACAGTTTTCAATCATAATTTATTAAACTTACATACATTATCACTTTCAGTATGACATAAGTTGCAAACTTTTCTCGAGATAGCAAAAATTAAAGAACAGTTATTACACAATGCTGTGTTGCTTTATCTGAACTTTCACATTAATATCCCCTGTCTCCTAGGGCTTGGTCTTGCCATTCTTTTTAAGGTTGTTTGACTTGATGATGCACGTCAACTCGTTAATTGTCTACCTTTTCTGTGTATGAGTCTGCTGTAGCTGTTCATTTCTTAACAGCAACTTCTAGTTTTGCTTTCCCTTTTTGTAAGCATTTCTACCTCCTGAGAATGCTACATTTATTTTTCTGTTTCTTATCCTTCTACTGCTGCCTTCTCTGAGTTTCCAGAAATGCATGGTGTTGGGTCCATGCAGAAGCTACCGATGTTCTCGATTCTTTTGTGATGGGCACATTACATATGCCACCTGTAAAATTTATGGCATCGTAAATAATGTGCTCCGAAATGTGGGACAATGTTTATTAAGAAAAAAAAAAGAAAATTCAGGTATTTGTGAAAATTCCAGCACGTTAAAAACCTTGAAAACCAACTTTTCAAATTCAAGGGTTTTCAAGAATTTCAAGGAACTGTATGAACCCTGAGTGTTGATGATATCAAGGTTGTTTCCCATTGGCAAGAAGGACCATTGGTGTTCACACAGGCGGAGAGGAGGATGCCCTCTCCCTTACCCCCGAATGCAGAGATGTTACTTGACTCGTACTTGACTCGTTCTTGACTCAAGACAGTCTTGCCAGTCACCATTAATCGTTCTTGAACTTGCGAACGACTTGAAGGCGACTTGGCTCGGTCGAAGTCAGGACGAGTTTCAAGTCAGCTGCGGGGCTAGCTTGAAAGTGACTTCATGCCTTATTCCAACATGGTCACCTCTCGAATGGACGTCGCGCGGAGGGTGGCCGCTTTTGAGTTTGCTTGCCTCGCCATAAGCGTAGCATTTTCTGAGGCGCACTGCCTGCCGAAGATTCTTGGACCCGCTTTACGTGACCGAGGAAATCTGATGGCGTTGTATGACGAGGAACAATTCCACGCTCGATACAGATTCACGAAGAACGCCGTGTGGCAGCTGCTGGGTATGTTACCGCTCCGTGAAAGTGGGGACAACCGAGGACAGCCTGTGCCTCCAGTGTTACAGCTACTGATGGCTCTCGGGTTTTTACGGCGCTGGCCCATTCCAAACAGTCACCGGGAATCTCATCCGCATTCCGTAGCTGACAGTTAGCCGTGCAGTAGGAAAAGTTACACTACTCATCGCAAAGCACCTGTACGCAATGCTGGTGCGCTTTCCGCAGCCCGCAGCACTTTCTATTGTTATGCGGGACTTTTATGAAGTGGCTGAGTTCCCTGGTGGTGCAGGCTGTGTCGACTACACACACGTGCATATTAATAGCTTCGGTGGGGACGCCGCCGAAGTGTTCCGTAACTGCAACGGCCATTTCTGTTTTTCTTAAAAAAACACAACGACAATTTCCGCCTCTTTCAGTACAAAACTGACTCGGTGCTGAGTCTGTTTGCCTCGTCTATCCTTTCGTCCCGTCTAGGGCGCTGTTTCTCGCTCAGAAAGGCATTGCTTGTAGCACAATACAACGTAAAATTCCACACACATAAAAAAGAGGTGCCCCTATCACAGGTCTTTTTTATCCACTTCACCATCATGCAGCGATACACTGCTGCACCCCGAGAGACACAATTCTGCTGTCGGCAATGTCCTGACCCCCGCTTTTTCTCTTGTTTACCAAGCTCAACAAAAGAATACGAATCACATTTGTTCCCAGGACTTGTTTTTTTTTTTTCATAACTGCGACCTAGCCCACAACAGGCATGCACACAGGCGAACAGAAAGGCAAATACCGTGAAAATCGCATCACCTCGTGAGCCAGGTCAGCACAAATACATGCCATAGCGTTCGATTGAAAAAAAAATGACGAAAGAACCCAACGCGATGCTTGTTTCGCTTCCAAACAAGCAACCGTGGAGAAACGTGCCGCATTTGTGTGGCCACTAAAACCAGCGAGCAACGAACGCTTTACAGAAGTAACACTGCACATCCCTGTGGCGGCAGGCACCACGTGCCACTCTTTAGCCGTAAAATGGCAAGAATATGCTTGTGGCCCTCTGTTTTTATAGTTATTTTAAAACGTATGGTCTTTTTTTGCTGTAATGCATTGCTTACGCGAACAACTTCATTATTACCCTCGTTAGCAGGCGAGCAGCGTGTTTCTGCTTTGAATCTCGTTCTTGACTTTACCAAGCAAGACAGCCTGAGCATCTATGAAACGCGAAGGCTAACTTGGGCGTTTGGAAGTCCGCTGCTTGCTTCACGCCGACTTGCTCAAGTTAAGTTGAAGTCGCGAGCCAAGTAACATCTCTGCATTCGGGGGTTAGTCACCTAAGAGAACGGACAGAAAGTCAGCCCCTCACATCGGCATGACATGGAGGAAGGGCGCTGTGATGAAGCTTGCCCCGCTGAAATGCAACCCTGTGTGCACCCGCGAAAGAAGAACTGTCATTTGCAAAATGGGCCAATTGCAGCACCACAGACACCACCAGAATCGCAAGTAAGCTCACCAGAACGAAGTTTTTGATGATTTTCTGCACACTTATGACTCACAGAGAACATCAACATAACAAGCATCAATCATGATAACATCGGGTACAAAGTCCTCAATACAGTCAACCCTTTTAAACTGAGTAGAAGCACCTGTGAACTGCAATGTTACCAGTTTATACCAGTATGAATCAGCATATACAATGGTCGGCTCATTCATTCATTCCGCAGCCTATTCTGGCGGACAGGCCACGAATTGGACGGTGCATTGTTGAGGAGGCTAATTCACTAGCTAAAGGCAATAGTGGAAAAGTAATTGTTTAGCCATTACAAATTAATATAGCCTCGCAGCAGAAACGTCATTGCGAGTACCGTTCTTGGAACCACCTTCCTTTCGACTCTGAAAAACTCGTGGAGGGCTTTTGGGTGCCTGAATGATACGTTACTGTGGTGCACATTTGGAAACCATTACATTGCCGTTATCTGCTTCAATGGCCCCCAGGTGCCAATAAATGATGAAGACACGGCTACGAAGCTCGTGTGTTATGCTTCCCCAAAGCAAACGAAGGAACTGGAGCATGAGCTATTCGAAAATGATATTGACATGGTTGAAAAGTATGAGGAGCTGCTCAGTAGCGGAAGCCTCGATGATCAGGAAAAAAAAGTGGACAGAGAAAAACTGCCTGTTAACACCAGAGGTCCCCTTGACTGAGAAGATCACTTTTTTGGGGGGCAGGCAAGAATGAGTTGATGATGATGATGACATGTTGCTTTTAACGACGCAAGAATACGAGTTTGTAGACTGCTTTTTCTGTCAAAAAAGCTCTTCGTTCATTCATTTATTCACTTGTTTTTCATTAGTTTCAATGCCTGCTGGCTCCATAAGGTCGTTATTAACATAAAACATAATGCATGATATAAGCATTCATTAACAACACAACTTGTCTTTTTGTATGACAGGCTTATGTTTCGCGTATTGCTTCCCACAGTTGAAGCCACGGAAAAACTCACATGTGTACAGAACACTTTTATTTGATTGACACACAAGTATCTTTGTTTATAAAGCAAAAAACAATGGAATCTTGCAAATGTCTTGTAATATTTGAAAAGTAATAGGTATATACATGCTGGCATATCTTTACAACTTGAAAAAGTGACTAAAGTAAACAATGATTTTAAATACCTTCGGAAAAGTGCTCTTTTTTTCTGTCCTTTGGTGTTGAGAAAATGCTCAGTGTATTATGGTCCACTGCAGTGGAATTATCAGCAATGAGAAAAAACAATGTGATCTGAAAAGGTGGATTTCATTTGTTTGTCACAACCATTTGAAATGAGTACGAAGGATACAAAAAAAAATAATAGTGCATAGCCATAAGCTAAAGCTAAGTATCAGCCAGTGATACCTTATTATGTCTGAAATGTTATGCCATGTTTTAGCCATATATATTGCACAGACATAGCATGAAAAGTGACTTGGCCACAATGCTCATCAGTTTTAGAGAGATCATACTCTGACAAGCAAAAAAAATGATCACAACGAACTTTACATTTTTTCAATTATGTCTATGCTCAGCAAAATCAAAATGCTACAACATTATGCAACAGTAACAATCTGAACACCTCCAGACACCAAGTCTAACGATGAACAAGTCTTTCTTTGGCACGATTCGATCATACACACTCCATGCATAATGATACAATGATTATGCGAAACAATGCCACTACTTTGCAAATGCTTCCAGCCAGTATTCCTGACACATTAGCTCATTCCACAAAACAAAGCATGACAAAATCTCAAGTGAAGATGTCCAATTTGAAATGGCTGAACAAAGCAAGACAAAGCCTTAAAATGAAGACATTATTGGGAAAGAAAAAAAAAATATATACACTATGCAGCTTCCAGCTGGAAATAGCTCGCATCTAGAACATTGCAACGTTGGCTACCACAGGCTCACACTTCATGACTCTATTTGCTTAGAGTTGCACGGTGGACGACATTTCTATAACGCACAAACAGAATGCACTACACCGTGGAATAAATGTGGGTGCTGCACAATGACTTAGGTACAATAAATATAGAGGGACTGTGGAAAAAGGCCACTGCACACTAGCTGCAGGCTTCCTTGCTCGAAACTGGCACTCAGGACATACTAAAGTTCTCACTTGCTTGCCACATAATGCGAGTCTTTTTTAACACCCAATCTTCACGAACCACTAGAGCGACAACTCTCTTTGAAGATGTCCGACCAAAGCACACACATTGTTTCGTCCATTAAAACACAGACTCACACTACAGGTTCTCAGTTGTGCCTTCCAAGAACGCCCGTGAATGGGTGACGACCACTTTCGAACAAGTCCTCGCTCGTAAGGTCGAACATAAAGCTTGTGTCATCCATCGTCGGTTTTCGCATTTTCCGTTCGCACACGCAGCGGGGGCGAGGGTGGATAGGGTGGGGATTCCCCCGGGGGCAGGCGAAAGGAACCGGGCGCCATTGTAGTGGGGAGGGGGAAGAAATGGCGCCCGCCGACATTGATGAGGTAGCGTCAAGACGGGGATGTGGTAGACAGTGCCACCACCAAGTCGCCCGGTGACGACGAGGCAGCTGGTACCACTCCCCCGCTGCTCGCCGGCACAAAGCGAGGATGGTGGTGGTGGTGGTGCAAGTGGTGGAGATGGCGCAGGGGCATCATGGCAGCAGCAGCCCTGGCTCCGTAGTCGTGCGTAGCCAAGGTAACGACCGGGTGCTGGGGACGATTGTGTGGGGTGCTGGAGAAGCTCGGTGCCGACGGTCGCGTAACTTGTTGCTGTGATGGCTGAGGAGACGGCGAATGTGCCGGTGGTGACGATGGGCTCCGGTGTTGGTGGATGATGCAGGCCGTTGCTGTGGTGCTGGCGGTGCTGGCGGTGGTGACGGCGGCAGCAATCTTGATGGGCACGGGGCAATGTGTCGAACTGGAGCTGGCAGAGTTTCCGGGATTTGAATCATCATCGACGCCACCCGGAGAGCGGCGTTTGCTGGTGCGACGCTCCCGCTGGCGCTCGTTTTTCCACCAGTTCTTGAGGCAATTTACCGTGACCTTGGGTCTGCGTACGAAGATTTGGCTCAGAAAAGAATGTAAGTGCTCACGCAAGCAGTCCATGCACTACCAGGAGCAGTTTTACATTCTGCATAGCTGCTGAAAATGAAATACTTGGCACACATTTAGTGAACTCCTTGCCTAAGTGTTCCTGCATTTGACTGTAATAGAGATATTCTCAGTACAATGCACTCATTCTCGTTTAGTGGCACATCCACAACATATGAATGAATTTATGTGTGGAAATTTTAGCTAGTACTTGTAAAGATTAGCACCCTTGGTGCAAATAACGAAAATGAAAAAGATATGATAGTGTATCTGTGCTGCTACATTGGTATGAGTACGTTTTGTACAGTATTGCTCATTAGGCAGAAAAAGAACACCTAAACTGCACACCTAAACTAGACCATAATACTCATAAACTATACCACAATGCTTATGGGTATCCAGCATTATATAGATCAAAATAAGGCAGCCACAATAGCAATGCAAGGCACAAATGAAGAGAAGAAACGGCGTAGGTGTGGCTAAGACCCAGGGACTGAGTCTTTGACTGAGTCAGGGACTGAGACCCAGGGACTGAGACCCAGGGACTGAGTGGCTCAGTCATTTTAAAACAATGATTGGGCTATTGAACAGTGAACTTGTCTACCAGAAGAATAGAACAACTTGGGCTAGTTGTCACATGTGACTGAACAGAGCACAGCATTGAAAAGGCAAGGGAGTTTTTATTGTGCTGGGAATCTAATAAAATGATATTGCAAATGTTCGAAGCCACAAGTAAGCTTTGTACTCCGGCTTCTTGTTGCAAAAGCGCAGAGGTTATGTCTCTACAACAATAGTGGTAAGTGGTCATGACGCAGCTTGTTATTAATGCCGTGCATTACAATTCATCAGTGAACAAAGTTCTCAATGAATGTATGGCGAATAGAATAATTTCTCAGCCACGTGCATTACTTGGTACACTAGTTATTAATGCCGTGCATTACAATTCATCAGTGAACAAAGTTCTCAATGAATGTATGGCGAATAGAATAATTTCTCAGCCACGTGCATTACTTGGTACACTACTTGGTACACTATTTGTATATTACAAGAGACAGTTGTAAGTGAACGCCCACGCTATCTATGTATTCCATGGTGTTCTCACGTAGCTGCCATTTTGGGGTCAAGTTTACTATTATTACAAAACATGTACACTCTTACCTAACAGCAAGTGCTGCTACATAAATCGCGGGACCAAGAGTTCGCGAGCAATCGTCTCCACATTAAATAAAACTACAAAATGTTGCCAAATATAAGCAGAACGCAACTCAAATGGTGCAGCTCACTTGTTTCGCAAGCGCAGAGATTCACTGTTGAGTTGATTGGCAAAGTCTTGCAGCTGAAGGTTGGTCGGGTGCGGACACTGGCGGAACCAATCCCGCATGCGCGGGAGCTCCGTGATCGAGTGGAACGTCATGCGGCCGTCTTGAGGAGGCCTGTCCTCGTCCAGAAACGCCATCGCCGATGCTGCATGACAGCGAATCAGCATGAAGCTTGTTAGTCACACAAGCATATGCCTATTATTAGCATGTTACCACACATGAAAAATATGATTAGAAAAAAATATTGCAGGAACGGTGACAGAAATTCAGCACAGCTTTTAGCAAGCAATAAACTTGTGAAGCAAAAAAGTTGCAATAGCTTTGGTGCCTCTCAAAATATATACATTCTATTTATTTATGTAATTTGCAAGTAGAAGGTTTCCGTGCCCGCTAAAATGCATGTTTCCGTGCTCGCTAAAAACGACCAAAGCGTTTGTTACATTGCTATTCTACAGCTCCGCACTTTCATCGCATCACTAGCATTTTTATTTGAACTTTTTTAGATTTTTTTTCCGCAGTGACCCAAGTTAGTTAATTGCAAGCAGGCATGCACGCACGTGGGCTCACTCACTCCATTACTGTACGTACAGTCAACCAAAAAGTTTATGGACCCCGCGAACGCGTGACCTTTTCGCCAGCGATTGACAGCAACACTGCACCCAAGATGCATCCATCTCATAATCACCATTCTCTTTTTAAAGCGATGTGCTCTTTGGCAACCATAGAACTTGCTTATGTCTCGCGAGCAGCCTATCAGAATAAGTACTCTCAATAGTTATGCCCAACGGCACACCGATCGAAACACGCCGCGATAGCTGTGATTCTGCTATCAAAGTAAAAGTGTGACGGTCACAGTGCACATAAGCACTCTGTGTGAAAGCAACGAACTAACATTGTGCTATCCGGCAGTAGAAAATTGATATGCCTTCGAATAACCGGAAGACCCGTCTCCGACTCGGCACTGCGGTCAATGATAGCTGATGCACCACAAGGCGGCACTCACCGACGTGGCACGGACAAACAGCTTATCACGAGCTCGTGTGTTCTGTAAACTTTTGAGCTTGACAGTTCGTACCCCGGTATATCTTAAACCATGGTACATAATGTTATGACTGTCATCAGTAATGAAATTCTTGCGGCGGCTGTGAACCCGACGAAAAGCTTTAGATGCATTCCAAGCAAGGGTGTGCCGTCAGGATGGGCTGATTTCCTTTATGTAATGTGTGAACAAGGGTTTTCTGGGATCGGTTCGGCGCTAAGAAAACGCACCAGGCAGGAAAGGCCATTGTGACCTCTACTCCACATCAGGTATAAAGGAATTTTGAGCAAGTAATACCCCTGTCACACAGACTACCGCGAACACCATTTAACTCTCTTGTCCTTACGACATGGGAGATGCGGTCCGTGTCACACAGCCTACTTTACGCAAATGAAGGTAAACGGAGAATTACAGAAAAGACATTCGACGATCTTCCTTTGCAATGAAACGAGGTATTCTCGCTCCCAGTAACTGCAGGTCAGAAAAAAATTCGAGCACTAAACTGTCGCAGTGACAACAATAAATACATTTTGGCAATATTAAATGTTCTTTTGTTGCAATACACATTCATATCGCGTGTTTATTTACATATATCTACACCCATCAGAGTTTAGCTGTATACTCTCCACACCGATGCCATCCACACCGTGCTTTGCGACGCAAGTCGGGCCGGGCACCGTTATTTAAAAATATGTTGTCTGTGCGTGTGGTTGTTGTTGTCGCCGTGTTTGCACGTGCCCGTGAGAGTTACTGACAGCAGCACTGCATCATCGTCAACTGCTTCGACGGCTGCAGGAATGGGTAATGGGACCAGACCCAAGTCAAGGGTAACTTGGAGCACACTCACGAGAGAAGGAAACGCAAGGACTTTCATACACAAACTACAAAAACAACCAGTCCTCGAGTACGGCGCAATTGTGAACAAACATAGCGTTAGGCACAAGGTGGCCAGGGTTGCTGCATTTAACGAATGGGTATTAATCTAAAATCATTTTTAATGCTTTGTTTGCTTCAGACATACTTAATATTGTGTTTTTGTAAAAACCCCATAACAAAGAATCACAAAAAATCAACTAGACATGAAATTGGGATACTTCTGCAAAACTCAAACAGCTCCGGCTGAGTCCCCTCTCGGCAACTATTGCAACCTTGTCAATTGCCGTATGACACTGATGCAACTCCATCTTCATCGAACTACCTAGCGGAGCTTTACGCTGAAGGAGTTTAACAGAATTCGGTGGTGGCCGTGTGACAGGGGTATAAAAAAGCGACAGGGCCATTTTAGAAACGCCCGTGGATTTGGAGAGACCTGAGCCAACGTGGAATTTGCTGTATAGGGTGGCAGCCAAGACCAAACCGGTTGCAGCTGAACCTTCCGAGGAGAGCGAAGTTCCAGAAATTTGCAGTTGCTGATGAGTAACTTCTAGCTAATGACGAAAGATTAGTTGATTACTCCTCGATTCCTCTCTCTACATAAGTAGTGGCTACATGAAGTGGCATGTTTGACGATAAACCTGTCAGACTACCATATTGTTCTACCCAAATGCAGACAGGTTTGGCTCATGCACCGAGAGCCGGTCTTTTCAAACATCACCCTACTTGCCAGGAGAGTTCTTTGAAACCCAGATCAGCCAGGATCATTGGACGTGTCCAAAATCTTGGCAATGTGTGCAAAACGTTGGTGTTGGGCGTTTCTGACAATATCTGGGCATTGTTTAGACTATCCCCTTTCCACATAGATTGTATGGTGTCTTTCCCTACCTTCGTGGGTGAGCCACTGAGACTATCAAGCGCCGTATTCGCTGAAGCGGCAGACAATGCTCCCAGGGTTGGCAACATGGCGCTATATAAGCGGAAAACCTATTGTATATTTTCAGACAGTTCTGCAGTTCGCAGTTCTCCAACGAATTCTCGCACCTGCTGTCGACTTCTGAGTTACTAACAATGTAAAAAAATCTTTCTCGTTCTTACGAGTGCCTCATTCGACTTGTTTAACAATGGGTCCTAGGACCCAATGGGTCCTAGGACCATTCTGGTAGCGCGCCACCTGGTAGCGCTACCAGAATGGTCCTAGGACCCAATGGTAGCGCGCCACCGTCCGTTCATTCTGGTAGCGCGCCACCGTCCTAGGACCCAATGGGTCCTAGGACGGTGGCGCGCTACCAGAATGGGACCCACAGGACCCGGATGCATAATACACACAAACTATCATAACTTAAATTTGAGGCCTTACTACGCTCAAACTAATATGTTCAAGTTCAGTTGTTTTCCCCCGTTCCATAAAAGAATGAATTCATTACCTAGTTCTGCCCGTTCATGCCTATCGCGGCGTTTTGTAGCCGAAATCCACAACACATACATGTAAAATACGCTGATCTGTTTGCAAATAGTAGTTAGGTGTTCTTTTTTTTTTCATGAAGCGTGGAAACTTGGGCAAGTTGGTAGGACATAACTGAATGTACGAACAGGGCAACCTAGAAGTAGTTCTTGGTAACTACTAAAGCAAAAAAAAAAAAAAACAAGAATAGAAAAAAGCGCGGACTTTCAACAAAGATTTAATATCGAAGTGGTGTACATATATAGGCAAAAAGGAGAAAATTGGGCATGCGTAAAAGGGTGCAGGAATAACCACTGCGATACAATGTCAGCAAAACTCTTGTCTCTTGTTGAATGAGCTGAAAACAAATACACATGTAGCTTACAAAAAGATCGAGATATGCAATCTCTTTTTGCAACAACGCAACCGATGGGCAACTTACACATTAACCGTCAAACTTATTTATTTGATGAGCTTCAATTATCTCACGCATGGCCTGCGAGTTGTGCTTGCTTAATACCTCGCAAGGCTCAAAAACTGGCACGCAGCCACAGTCTCGGCAGTGGATTCCGAGGTGTCCTTTAACTACATTGTGCACATTATTATTGCGCTCTCTTAAACGGTCATTGAGGCACCTTCCGGTTTGCCCTATGTATACCATTCCGCACGATAGCGGAATAAGATATACGACACCAATAACACAAGGTACAAAGCGCGTTCTGTGTTTCACGGTGCATTTTCCTCTAATAGCAGCTGGATTATTCACCCGCTTAGAAAATTTTTTTTACCAATTTTTTTAAGCCGATGCAACACGTTATGCAGATAAGGAACTGCAACACATTTCGTGGGAACTGACGTGTTTTGAGGCTGAGATCGCCCTCCTTGATTTTTAATTTGCTTCAAAAGTTTTTCCGCAACAGCAGAAATCAGGGCGCTCGAGTAACCAGCGCTTAACACCTGTGCTTAATACCTGAGCTTTGAAACTGCATTGCATCGAGTGCGGGCATGACCTCTTAAAAACGTTTACCAGGTAAACATTAAGGATACCCCTTTTCACCGATTTTGAATGAGCTGAGTGGAAAGATAAAAGGGGTTTACCACTTCTCGGTGAAAACAGCCAGCACAAATGATTGCTTCCAAGACAGAGTGTTAGGTCTAAGAACCTAATCGAATTTCCAGACGGTAGCTAGTGAGTAAGTTCAAGAGAGTATAAGTGCTTCTTAAACAAATCCAAAAGACTAAGGAAAACAACTTCAAAAACAGTATCCAAACAATCAACAAATACAATGAAATCATCAACAAACCTACAGACCTTCACAACAAGAGACAAGTCGAGATCTTTTTGAATGTGGCGATCCTTATGCGCGAGAAAGATGCCACTCAAAACTAGTGCCAAACAGGAACCTATGCAAACACCACTTTTTTTAATGAAATGTTGCTCATTCCGAGACGCAACTGTTGACTTTAAATAAAATGAAAGCAATTCCAGAAAAACACGAACTTACATACCCGACGCATTATGGAATTTATCGACCCAAACGAATCAATGCATTCTTCGAGGCACTGGAGCAGTGCATTATGTGGAAGTGAATAATGCAAATCTTTCACGTCTATCGAGGAAGCCTTCAGCGCTTTGTCATTAGACCTTAAAAACTTGATAACCACATCAGAGTCTTTTACCAGGAAAGGATCGTCAATAGTTCAAAGGTTAAGCTGTTCTTGTAAAAACAAGGCGACCTGTTTTTTGCCAGGTCCCGTTTTCAAAAACTATTACCCGCAGTGGGCAGTCAATCTTGTGCGTCTTAGTGGTAAAAAAGATGTCAAGACTTAGCTTCTTTGATTTGTCTATTGATTTCGCAACTTAGATCTAAGTCGAGAGAGTTGCAAAGCCTTTTCGCTTCCAATTTAGCTTTTGCTATTGAAGAATCACTGGGTTTCAAAACAGAATTTATAGCCATGGTGGCTTTTTCCTCAAACAAAAGGGAAGGCAAAACAGCAAAGCCACCTTCTTTGTCCGATGGTAAACACGCTGGTGTCACTGTTGTATTTTCCGCCCCAGAAAAGCTTTCATAGCTTTGTAAGCTGGTGAATAATCCAGCTGCTATTCGAGGAACATGCACAGTGAAACACAGAACGCGCTTAGTACCTTGTGTTATTGGTGTCGTAAATCTTATTCCGCTTTCGTGCCGAATGCTATACATAGGACGAACCGGAAGGTGCCTCAATGACCGCTTAAGAGAGCACAATAATAATGTGCACAATGTAGTTCAAGGACACTTCGGATTCCACTGCTGAGACTGCCGCTGCGTGCCAGTTTTCGAGCGTTGCGAGGTATTAAGCAAGCACAACTCGCAGGCCACGCGTGAGATAATTGAAGCTCATCAAATAAATAAGTTTGACGGTAAGTGTGTAAGTTGCCCATCCGTTGCGTTGTTGCAAAAAGAGATTGAGGATCTCCATCTTTTTTAAGCTACATGTGTATTTGTTTTCAGCTCATTCAACAAGAGATAAGAGTTCTGCTGACATTGTATTGCAGTGGTTGTTCCTGCACCCTTCTACGCATGCCCAATTTTCTCCTTTTTTTTGCCTATACGTACACCACTCCGATATTAAATATTTGTTAAAGTCAGCGCTATTTTCTGTCCTTGTTTTTTTTCCCGCTTCCCTAGTTACGAAGTAACTACTTCTAGGTTGCGCTGTTCCTACATTGTTTTTTTTTATATTCTCATATTTTTGCCTTGATGCTCACGCAAGGTTATCTTACCTGTTTGCGTTATTTTCATTGTTTTTTAGTTATATTTCTGTGTATACTTGTATACCCATTCCTGCCATGGCGCAATTAGCGCTGCAGTACGTATGTATAAATAAATAAATAAATACTCGCACGCGAACTTAAACCTAAGGTACGCTTTAGAAGCGTGCTTCCCCACACACAAACTCTCAATGTGGGAAGGCCAATCGTTAGAAACTTTCGCGAAGAAGCACTGCTAGCAGTGCTTGTCGTATACACGTTTCCTTGGAGTTTCACGAAGAGTCACAGTTTCGCCACAAGGGCCATGCAATGAATGTGATAGGAATAACTTGGGATATACGCTGAGAACAGCCAACAGATCGAAGCGTGCAGCGCGCTGTTCACACACAAATGACGCACAAAAACAACACACACAGGACGAGAGCTAACTGACAACGTTTACAACTCTATGCTTAACGCCCTGTTTAAACAAAAACGACGCACAAAACGTAATCACAGGTACAGATATGAGTGCGAACTAACAAGTGTCCCTGTTGCCGCTTCGCTGTGTTTGAAAAGCGCGTCCTATTCACAAACGGGGCCTCTCCAGCGAGCAAAGTTGACCTTTGTGGCCCAGTCAACTAACGCAATCATTTCGGTGAAAGGCCAAGGCACACAATTCTCCCCAGCGAAGGATAAGCGCGAGCGCACAAGCACCTAACCCCCCGCCCCCATGCGTGGGGCAAAGTACGCGTGGGGCAAAGTACGCGTGAAAGATAAGCGCATCGCGAAGAGCTGGGTGCCGAGAACGGGCGGCTTTTTTCTCGAGTTTTCCTATATATAGATACGTATACATATACGGTGCATGACGGCAGCGTTGGCAATGGTAAAAAACAGCCGAGACTATCCATATAATTGCTACAGCAATCGCAATAATATGCAGCCGATGAATGCAACATTTGCGAATGCTCGGGCACCAATGCTTCGACCAGGTGACACAATCCCAAGGAAGCGCTTAGCAAGCAACCAACGTGTATCATCAAAAGGATGACAAACTTTTATGGGCCTGTAATGATAAAGTTCTCTGCTGTAACTCGCCAGTAAGGCGTTAGGCATGAGCGTTAGGCCCGAGCGTTAGGCACATTTCAGAGTGTGCTAAAAACGCCGACCTGCGCTTGTCACATTGCCATCCTGCAAGGCCGTACTTTCATAACACTACTAGCATGCTGCATGTGGCTCTACTAGCGCTTTTTGCCCGCGCTCAACATACCAGAGACTGCACGCGCGCGTACACAAGCGCTAACCCACACTTTCAATGCGGGTTGTGCCATTGTGCCTTAGAAGCGTTCTTTGCCGCATACAGACTGTAAATGTAAGAGACCCAACAGTGAAACAATCCTCGCCAGATAGCAATGTTCGAGGCGCACGTGCACGTCATGGCAGACTTATGAATTTTGCAATATTTAGCCGAGGTATGCACCATTCATAAACATCCAGGCTCAATAGCACTGACAGTTGGGCGAGTAGGTGTTGGTTCATACTTATGAATGGCACAAAAAACACACGGGACACAGATGGAGAACACACAGACACGGGCGCCGGACTCGCAACAAATTTTTTATTCAGGTTGACTCACACATATATGCAGGCACAAGGTTCATAACTCATGTATCAGCGTTTCATCTATCGCCCTTCAACAAAAAGATATATTATTTGAATAGTAATTTATGACAAACCTTTTGTGCTGTTTCACATGTGTTTTGAACCACGTGCCTCTATATATGTGTGAGTCGACGTGAATAAAAAATTAGTTGCGAGTACGGCTCCCGCGCCTGTGTGTTCGCCTATGTTCCGTGTGTTTTTTCCACTGTTCATAACTATAAACGTCCAGGGTGAATTATTTGGCTTCGTCAAACTCCTACAACAGCTAACAACCGTGCTGTGATACCACAGATGCAACAATGTAATTGACACCTTCAGCCGTAGAGCTGCGACACTACGGGTGCGAAAATGCATTCGCGGAGCGAGCAACCGTACGTGAAGCCTTGGCACGAAACGGACGCCAGCAGCAGTGTCTTACCGTCGCAGGCGGCCATTGAACGTTGCGAAGGGGCATCACCCACTCACCTGGCGACGACTGTCTGTACTGCATGAACCAAGTGCCAAATTCCTTGCACTTCTCGGCACCCAGCTTTCCCGTGAACTTGTTGTTCACGATCGTAGAGAGCAGGGACTGCAAATATCGAGATAAAAAAAAGAGAAGAAAATCTCATCGAGCTGCACATAGCATGGCACTTCACGTTTTCATGTAGCAAGATCTGATAACTTGGGTGAATCCTTAACCGAACAAAACAAATACATCGGAGTGGCCTAGTTGGCCGGATGGCGTTGCTCAAAAATGCGTAAGCACTGCGTCACTTGCTCATTCCTGTAGTCTTAGCCCACATGCCTGTGAGGCTCGGTACTCGAGTACCAGTACAAATACAACCGAGCTCCCCGAGTTCGATACCCAACGCTCTTCAACGTCTCGCGGTTTCGTCGAGGTTTCCGAACCCCATTTTCTCTTCAAGAGCGTGCAATTCTTCCGTATTAAACGCGCTATTATTGAATATCCCTAGAAGTGTAGACATTTTATTACGATGAAGGCAGCGCAGCACTAATGCGCTCACAGGGCGTAACCATGGGCGTCCGGAAGGGATAGTGGGCAAAAAGGAAGAGGGGGTACTTTAGATATTACTTACACTCTGGCAGTAAGCTGCACAGTTTGATTAGCATACACAGGTTTTGCATATCTGGGCTAAACACAATTTAGGGTTGCCGACCAACTTTGCACATAACACACTTTGTAACACACTTGTCTTGCCGGCCATGTCAGGACAGTAAAAAAAAAAAAAGGGGCTGTCTATGCTGGAAACACCCCCTCCCCCACCCTGCAAAAGGTTGGACTCAAGTGTAGCAGCCAGGCACTCTATCTGCGCAATGCAAAAGGGCAGCGCGTGTCGATGATCCTACCTGCTTGAGAGGGCAAATCTTGGCGAGCTTGGACTGCGACATCTCTCTGAGCAGCTGGATGACGGCCGTCTTGACGCTGTCCATGGTCCACAATTCGGGGTTTGAGGGAATGCTGCGAGTGCGTGGATGAGCGTGGGTCAAGATCGAGCGAAAGTGCACGCCGTTACGTTTCGAGATGTGCACTGATGACGAAAACACCAACGACTTTTTGGCAGGCCCGATGAAATGTGCTGTTTTATTTATTATTGTTATTACTTTTATTACTATCGGAAAGCAGAAACACACGCAGACTTTTTTTTTTATCAGATAATGTAAGTTTTTATCAGATAATGTAAGCCTAAAAGGCACCGACGGAGGTAGTTTAGAGATACGATACGGTAGACTGTATTAAATGTAACATTGTTTTCCATTCAGTATGAATCTAGTGAGTGGTTGCCTAACCGCATTTAAATGCGTTTGACAGCGACACGATTTCGATGCCACGTCGACACAGGAGTACATGCAGGGTGTCCTATCACTTACAAAGGGTAAAGCTGCATAAAAAAGTGCATCAAAATGCAAAGATGATACCAAGGGTGTTTCGTTAGTGGTAGCCTTGCGCATACTAATGTTTTAATTTCGTTACCACTTAATTAGTGGAGATACATTTTCGAAATAATTACCTGCATAACTGCGCTGATTCCGAATGCATCGCATTCGAAAATATCGCACTGAAAAATGTCCGACCTGCTCCGTCACTCGTAAATATATATATATATTTTTTGCAGCGGTCAAATTTTAGGCGTTAAAGGGTGAAGACAGACCCCGAGTGAGCGCAGGCGTTTTCAAGGATGTGAGCTTAAAAAAAAAGAAGCTGCTGTGGAGTGGATTATACTAAAATAAGTAAAGCCGTGCCTCCGACATACACATGTGTGGCGAAGAAGCACCATTTTCCTTAAACGCCCTGCAAATTTGATGCGGGTGGTTGCTTCGGAAAGATACTGCTCAGGCCCTATCACTGGTTTCCTCCAAAGCTCCAATGTTTCTGAACATTTTATTGGAGAACACTTAACCAATAGCCATGCCAATACATTGCTTTCTTCTGAAACCACGCTCTGCTTCGCTTCTTTGGTAACCAACCTGACGTTCCCATTAATAGAGCAAAACAACTTATTCTATCAGCGTGCACAAACCGACAACCCTGCATTGCCAAGATAAAGGAGGAGCAAGGCCTGGGTTCACCCGTGCCGGGAGAGCGTCGCTAGAGCTACCACTCAATTCCTTTTTCAAGTTGCTTCCACGCTGCAGCACACTGGACGGTTCACCTAGCAGGACTACGTAAACGGTCACAGTTTTTTTTTTTTTTCCAGCTCCTCCCAGAGATAGCCTTGTTCGTTGGCTGCCTTAATCAACTCGCAAACAGTGACAAGGCCGTGGTTCCCCCCCCCCCCTTTTTTTAATATAATTAGAAAACACGGAAAGTTGGTATTACTGCATACCCTGGTGGAGCTTGTTCTACATCTGGATCTTTTCCGTATATTTAAGGTATGCAACTGTAGTAACTAGCCCAGTTTCTCACCTTATCTGGAAAATGGCACCTTTGTAGCTCGGCGCCTCCACCTCTCATGCCATGAATTTATTCGCCCTGTACAGAGGATGGGACCTTCGTAGCTTTGCACCTTCGCGCCTTGCGCCACGATTTTTGAACGCATTAGCAACTATGCAGACGTGAGGGGTTTGTTGGCTGCTCGCCGCTAATGCCTTGCCACTTTTGTCATTTCCTAACCATTCGTCTCGGGCAAATGAAGTATCACGACTCCCGTAAAAAATCCAGACAACACAAAAGTTCACAGAAAGATGGTGACTTGAGCGGTGATAAATCGTTGAACAGAGAAATGTCGCTGCACGAAAGGTCTCGACAGGACGCCTCTCTACCAGGGCAGCAACGTCAGATATTTTGTAACAGAATGCTCATTCTGTCCGAGAAATACCCAAGATTGTTTAGTAGTGTGGTCCATATGTATGCTTTGTTCTTATCTTTATTGTAATGTGATCTCGTTAACTTTTCTTTATCGATACAACGAGACTGTCTATTCTCGTGTTATGGCTTGTTCCAATACTTTGCATTATAGTACACGCACTTCCCACTTTTTCAATTCAATTAGTTTTGTTCGAGTCTCTCATTTATCATTTTACCCTGAAGCACTTCGTTTTTTTTTATAACGAGTTTTTTTTTTCTTGTGCGTGCAAGATTGTGCCTTTCAAACAAACTGTTCTATTGTTCCCACATGCTGTAATCTCTTTGAAATTGGAGTATCCATAAATAAATAAATAAATAAAACACTGTGCCCAGCGACATTTGCTGTACAGACAGTTATCGGGAAGTGGCACATAGGCGTACGTACCCAAGTGGAAGAAGCAAGACACAGGAATAGAAAAGAGGTGTTTATTAAATGTTTGAGAGTTTTACCAGTGCGCATGAGTGACTTGCGAGGAGCAAGGGTAGAGGAGACCGAAGCTAAATAAATAACATGACAAAGGCCGTAGTGCCTGAATTCCGCTTCGCTTCGGCGTTTCCTCACAGGTGGGAGGGCTTCCTCGCTCTCGACTTGACGAGGTGACGGGGATAAGTTCTCCGCTCGAAATCCCAGGATGCACGCACAGCAATGGGGAACACAGATTAAACTTACAAGTGATTATGACAAGGGTTATCGCATAACTTGTATTCAGTCCCACATGGATTTCATTCTGACCGTCCTAATTATCTCCACTATTCTCTCACCCCCGCCCTACTCATACTCGATGTATTTAAGTTAGTTCGAGTGTTCACTAGTTAAATAAACATCTAGCGACTGATGACATTTCTAACAAGGCTCTGTGTCACTTAACAACCCGCTCGCGTGACCAATACGTCATAGGATGTCCTCCTAGTTTTTTCTAAACGAAAATAATACCTGGAGATTGACGCCTGTCATGATCTTCCTTCAAATATCTCTGCCTGTCTGCAGCAAATGACTAGTCAATTAGTACAACTCAGCTCGTTAAACCGTGTGCACGCTTTTTTTCTTTTCAGTAAGGCAGCAAAATAAGATCGGTTCTCAATTGAGCCAGGGCGGATGGTGCAAATCTAAGTGCAAAGGAGACACAGCTGCCAAGCGAAACAGGTCCAATCACATGTTTGGTTTTCTGTTTGTGTGAAATGAATGGCAAGTAAGAACGCGCTGCCATTCCCGGTAGCCGCCGGATCAATTATAGTTGAAAACGAACGCACCAGACCGCAAACCCTCGGCTACGCCAAAATGACTCCGTTTTTCTATTCTTTCCCCTGATGTACGCTTTTGAGATTTGTTTTTTAATAAAGCGTATGCATGTGTCCACCAAGTCGAGCGAGTGCAACTTTCGCCGACAGGGGCGTTTTGCGATACTGTTGTAGCAGGCTGTGCAGAGTCCACTGTTAAAGATGCAATTGCTTCGATGAGCATCATCAAACCGACAAGCTCGAACACGGTAGCAGTTCGGCTAATAAAAGTTCGTTCCTTTTGGTCCTTCTATTCTCACAATATCGCATACTGTGTGATGACCATGCCACATTTTGCTATCGTACGGTATTACTCCGAGCGAAGCGCTAGCAAACTGTATGCTCGATTCCCAAACTGATTCGTTACTTCACTCGAACAGAAGGTAAAAAAATTCCAGCAGGTAAGCAGACAACCACTGTCACTACACATTGTAACTGGATAATTAGAAATGTATACGCATAGAACAGATCCTTCCGTGCTCTTGTTGTTCTGGAGGTGACCGTTTGTGAAGCCAGATATGCCTCGACTGCCATAGCAGACCCACAGTTTCGAGAGGGCACACAAGTTTGCCATCTCTCAAGTCACGCCGAAGAAAAATTCACTTACTCAGTTTGGTGCTCAGTAGATCCCTTCGTTTCTACGTCTTTGTCTCTAAATGTTACCTATCTCCACACGACTCCAGATGCAGCGCAGTGCTCATAAGATACTCACCCAGCACCAAGATTCTTTCACCAGAAGGATATCTCAGTAGAGCAAAAAGGCTTTTGACAAAGCACACACACGACAGACTGTTTCAAGAACATTCGGTTTTATTAGTAACCGCGAACAAAAAAAAAACAGGTCAAAAGTAAAAGATTTCGGCAGAGAGAGGTAGACCCGACCAACATTTTGCGAAAGGCAGGGCACCCTCCCGTCGCACGAATTTACAGCCTCGGAACAAGTAGGCTTAGCTAAGCCTATTTCCCTGCTGCAGTCCTTCCTCTTTCTCTTAGGCCCTCCCCCGGCTGTGTGAATGCCCCGAGACACAAAAAACTAAACTAGAAGGAAACAAACACTAAAGACGGGAGGGCCCGAAAAAGAAACTTTGAGTATAACTCACTGGTCGCCTTTTTCTATGTATATAAAGCGAAGAAGAATGCTGCTGTGAGCTAGGCCCAACGTGGCGGCCGTGGCCGCCATCTTGTCTTTGGATGGGTGTCGCGCCGGCCCGGTAGAGACAGGAAAAAAAGAAGAGGATGGGGCCCTTGAGCTGGGGGAGTTCAGCGTCCACCTAGGGCGGGGGGCGCAACGTGTATATCACAACTGAAGAGGGCAACCCTCGGACCCCGCGAGGAAGCAATCTCCTCTTCTCCAATGCTGCTCCCTCTGCTGCTTCGTCGTCGTTATTGTTACCATTATTACTATATAGTTATTATAATTATTATTACTATGGTTACTGGAGGCCACCACGCCGTCTCCGCAGCTTGATTGATGTACCCGTGTAGTTAGACGCATACGGGAGACAAGCGAGGCTTCTGCGCGGTGCTACCCACTGCCACACTACGCGGCTCTTTATAGAAACAAAAAACAAGCACAGTCGTGGTAAAAACATTTTCACTGGTGACTTGCAAGATGGAACAAATAATAATATTCATAAAGCACTGTGCGAGGAATGGTACTGACGACGAGCCAGATGGAGAAGCCGAGTCATGCTGCGGTGCTAAATAGCTTCGTGACATCGATGGAATCACAAATTATTCAAGTTTAATGTTCGGGGCACAACAACAGCCAAGCTAAAAATGCCAATGAGTCTGTTGCACCACTAGTAGCGTCGTTTGGAGACTGAGAGCTAAGAATATTTTTTTAATAGCCTCAAAACCAAACTGTGAAATTTCTTGACTTTTATGCAGAAACCTGCACTGTACGATTCTCTTTCTTTTCCTATTG